GCCAGGCCTCCTCGCCAAGCTCCCGCCTCTCCCTCCTCCGCGCGGGCCTGGCTGAGCCCCCGCCTCTCGCGAAGCGCATCAGCCAACTGACGCAGGCTGTCCAGCTCGTCGCCTGTCGTGAAGGACCCGCGGTCGCGCTCCGGTGCCGCGAGGGACTCCACGCTGGCGTCGCGGGCGCCCCCCAAGCCATCGAAGCCCTCCCTCTGCTGGAAACGCTCGGCCACGTCCAGTGGACGCTCCCCGCTGCCCGAGCGTGCCCGCGGGTGCTCCAGCGCCAACGCGTCCTCCCCACGCCGGCGCGACCGCTCTCGGGCAGCGCCGCTCAGGAGCCCTCCCAGCTCCCCCCTGGATAGCGCATCCCTCCAGGGAGGCTGCGGGGGCAGGCGGAGGGAGGCCTGGGCGGGCCCTCGCGGGCCGGGAGCCCACTTCGCCTGGATCGTGAACCCCCTTCAGCCACTCGGGGCACTTGTAACCCCACCTGGTCGCCAGGCCTCTTCTCAACTCTCGGGAGGGAAGAAGCACACAGACACAAATCAATCGCGATTCCGAAGAAAATATGGGAAAATATGGGAAGTGGGGGGGAAGACAAAAATCAACAAAATGTTAGAAAATATTGGGAATCCTGTTATTTGTTTGTATTTATTTGTGCGTCCCAGGGCCCCTTCAAACTCCTCGCTGGATGATGCACAGCGGGTACTCCTCGCGGCCGGCCACGCCCTTGGCCAAGGCGATGGCCACCGGGCTGGCCGTCTTGCCGTGCTCGTCCATCCCGTCGTGAACCAGCGTACTCGTCTTCAGTATGATAGCAGGAGCCCCGGCGGCCATGGCTTCTTCGCGTACGCGATCATCCACCACTGGTCCCAGATTGGACGGGGCAGTCACCAACGGGTCGAGGCAAGGTACACGGTAGGTGGCCCACTCCGCCTCAGCCTGGACTTGCCTGCACCGGTAGAAGTAGTATTTGCCCGCGGTCTCCGAGTTCTTGGGCCCGCGCACCATAGCCGCGAGCCATGCGCTGTTGGATTTGGGCCGCCGAAGGGGGTGGGGATCGTGACCTGGACACCCTCGGGCGTTCTGGTGTCAGCCCTGCCACCACCACTGCGGGCCCTTCTGGTCGGTCCGCGTGTGGTGCCAAACGCTGGGTCGCCGACAAGTCGTGCTCGAGGCAAGTCGAGACGCCGCAGTTCATCACCCGGGCACCCGAGGTGAGCGCACTCATTGCTTCCGCGCTCCCTCTGGTACGCGCTGGCATGCTGCCAGCACAGTGCCACCACCCTCTCTGGGCCCTCGACGTTAGACTTCTCCCCCTCCTCGGTGACCAGGCGGGTCGGTTCCCCACGGGCCCGATCGCGACGCTTCATCTTGGACAGCTGGTAAATGGTGTCGCCCTCCTGGTACAGTCGGGCCGGGCGAAAGGGGGGGATTGGGAAAAGGGGGGGTTACGAAATTTGCTGCGTGCAGCTGGTTTCGGCCCCACCCAGGGGCCCATTCCTCGATACATAGCCGCCTCCGGCGCCGGGAGGCGCCGGGAAAATCAGCTACGCGAGCTGATTCTCAAACCCCCCCTTTGCTATCCCCCCCTTTCGCCCGACCCGATACAGGACGTCGTGGGCCCGGCATCGCTGGCGTTCGGGCTCCGACTCCGTCTCCGAGTGTGCGGGGTCCTCGAGCAGCTCCGCCGGGGCGCGTCGGCCGCACTCCGTCTGCCGCGCCGGCAGCCCCGCCGCCCGCACCTCTGTAGCGACCCACAGGGCTTCGCACGCGCCTTCGAGCCTGTTTCAGGAGGAAAGGAAACACAAAGACACAATGAATCGTCGATTCCTTGGAAAAGATTGGAAAATATGGGAAGTGTGGGGGGGGGGGAAGACAGGAACCCAGAAGCTATGGGAAACTATGGGGGATGTTTTTATTTTGTGTGTATCTATTTGTGTGTCCTGGGGCCCCTTCACTGTAGCAGCGCACCCACGCCCACACGAGGCCGCCGCCGAACCGACCGCCCTCCCGAACCAGCAGGGCTTCGGCGAGGCAAGGATCAGCGCCTCCAGGTTGGCGTCCGAGTCGGCCGTGACATGCCCAGAAGCCGGCGCATGGACTGCGTAGTGGCCATCGTCGAGACACGGCATCTCCCGGCAGAGGTGGAACACCTTGTCCTGGGAGTCCTCCAGGAGATCCCTTAAACGTCGTGAGGTAGTCGCCAACACTTCCTTGTGGGGCCATACGACCCCAGCCTTCTTGCACTTGATGCCTGTGCTCAGCGACGGGCGCTCCCACCTGGCAGCAGTACCGCCCACCTTGATCATTAGGTGGCGCGGCACTTTGTCGGCTCCTCTCGCCCGCAGCTGCGCGTAGGACTCGTTCTCCACGGGCGTGGCGGGCGCGGGCCCCGGAGCCCAGGCACGACACATCTGGAGACGGGCCTGGCGCCCTCGCCAGGCGGCACCATCCGAGCAGTCGCCCAACCCACCTGAGTGGCGTGCGAATCAACGGGTCGAGCGCCGAGGCGATGGACTGGAGCCCGTGCCCGAGGCCGATCACCAGCGCCACGCCGAGACCTGCGGAGGGCTGTCCGGCACAGCGTGGGCCACCCCGTGCCAAGTTGGCCGCGTATAGCCCAAGGCGTGGAGGCTGTTCCCGAGGACCCCGCCGCCGCTCCAGGCAGTGTCGGTCCACTCGAGCCCGGACACCGGCAGGTCCGTGAACCGCCCAGGCAATTAGACACCGACCCTCGCGCCCCCGAAGCCGCACCGGCCGCGCCGACTCTCCTCCTCCTCCTCGGCCTCGTCACGGGGCGGCGACGGGGGGCGCCCAGCACCTCGCGCGCGCCTTCGGCCCTCGGCCCCGCCCCTCCGGCCCAGCCCCAGGCCCACGGGCTCCTCCTCCGCCGGGCGGCGCCCGAGCCCTCGGGGCGTGGGGCGTCTTCGGGCCCCGCCCTCGCCGGGGCCGGGCGCCCGCGGGGCCCCGCGGGGGGCTCGGCGGGGGGGGGCGCGGCTGCCGCCCGCCCCTCTGGCCGCCCGCGGCCGTGCCCGGCGGCGGCGCGGGCGGCCGTGCGCCCCCCGCCCCCCGACTGGCGGCCCGGCCTGGGGCTGCGGCAGCTCCTCCTTCTCTGGCCGCCCGCGGCCGTGCCCGGCGGCGGCGCGGGCGGCCGTGCGCCCCCCCGCCCCCCGACGGCCCTGGCGGCCTGGCCCCGGCTGGCGCTGCGGCTCCTCCTTCTCTGGACGCCCGAAGTGGGTACGGAAAGAATGGGTGCAACGCCCATAGCAGAAGCGCTGGTCCCTTTTGAGCATAGGGCTCGCTGTCCGCTCCGCCGCGGCCTGTGCCCATGTGAGACAGAAGGCCGCCTGCCCAACAGCGGCCGCTGTTGGTTTGGGACAGCACCTGTTGTTGGGCATTGTACCCATTTTTTCCGTGCCCATTTTGGGCGTCCAAATTCGCCGCCACCAGGCCGCGGCGCCGCCGGTGCTCCTCCGGCGCCCGCAGCGGGGGAGGGTACGCTGCCCCATCCCCTCTCAGCTGACCACGTCGCACCCGGGGATAGGTCCGGGATCGGTGCTTTTAGGTCTCCTCAGATACGGTCGGACCGAAGTATATGATCGAGGTCGGATCGGGGATGGGTACCCTGGTGTTCTTCGTGTCTGTGGTATGTTCTTGAGCGTCTTGGGGCAGGGCTCCCTCGGCGATCTGATGGTTTGGGGTGTTCTGGCCAGCGGCATGACTCATGTCAGGAGGAAAAGAAACACACAGACACAATTCATCGTCGATTCCCCAGAAAATATGGGAAAATACGCCAAGTGAGGGGAAGACAGAAGCCCCGGAAATATTGGAAATTATGGGCAATATTTTTATTTGTGTGTATTTATTTGTGTGTCCTTGGGCCCCTTCATCATGCTCTTGGAGGATGTTATTTTGTTCTTGGTCTGGCTGCAGCCCCACCCCGCCCAGGACCGTGCGGATCCGTTGTCGGGCGCCTGCCGCCGATTCATCGGCGATGCATCGCCGATCCCAGGCCGATTCTTTTCCTCCTCCGAGCTGGCCCCGCGGAGGGAACGCATCCCGAGGCGGTCGCTGTTTCCCCTTCTGAGCTTGCCCCGTGGGTGTTTCCGGGTCGTGACTGGGGCCTCCGGCGGCCGTGTTCGGGACTGTTCCGGCACCGCCGGGGTGCCCTCGACGAGGCGCAGCCGAGGGAAAGCATCGCGGGGCTGGGACACCGCCGAGGGCCGACGAAGATGCTCGAGAGCCTCGGAGGGCGGCGCCTTGGCGTCCGACATGCCACGCCAGCTCCCCCCCCCCTGACGTTGCCCCCCCCGCGAGGGCGAGGAGAAGTCGGGGGCGGCAAAGAGGGGGGTGATGACTAGGGGGGGGGTGGACATCATGGCGGGGGCCATGATATTTCCCCAGATTTCATGGCGCCTCTTCTCATTCCATTACGTTCCTGGCCCCCCCGCTGGGCCGCGCACATGCCGCCGGTCATGCTTTGCACCCCCCCTCTCTTGGACACCCCCCTCTTGGCCGCTCCCGAAGCAGAGGCAGCGTTGCTCCTCGGGCTTTGGTGAGCGGCTGAGAGGCCTGGGCCAGGCGGTGCCGGGGCGAGGGCCAGTCCGTTCCAGAGCCTTCCGGGGCGCTCTCTCAGCGCGCTCTGGAAGGCTCTGAGCAGGCCGCGGCGCCCGATGGAAGTTCCAGAGCCGCCGGATCTCCGAGATTCTCGATTTGTCCTCACCCGATTCTACCCTCGTCCTGGCTTCGACTACTGTTATGTCGGGCGTGTCCCCCTACAGGGGGATTTTCGACGAAAAATGAAAAATACCCAAAAAATGCCCCAAAAAGGTCAACAAATATTAAAACATAGTCCCCTGACTATTTTTGGATGGTTTTTTGAATATTTTTGGGGTATTTTTTTATTTTTCGTCGAAAATCCCTCTGTAGGGGGACAGGCCCGACTCAATCCTGGCTTCGACTACTGGGCGGGTTGCTCTTTCCAGCCGCTGCCCTCCTTGGAAGCCCAGGCGGTGCCGCAGGCTGGCCGCACGGCGGCGCAGGACCTGGCCCCGAGATTCCTGGGCTCGTCCCGCCGTTCGTCGTCGCCTGTGTCGTCTTTGGCATCGTCGGGCAAGGGTTAAGTCGGGCCTGTCCCCCTACAGGGGGGTTTTCGACGACAAATAAAACATACCCCACAAATAGTCCAAATTTAGTCCAAAGATAGTCTGGGGATTATTTTTTGACCTGTTTGGGGCACGTTTGGGCTATTTTTTATTTGTCGTCGAAAATCCCCCTGTAGGGGGACAGGCCCGACTGAAGGCAAGGGAGGGTGGGGAGAGAGAGGGGGGCACAGATAGAGTGTGAGTGGCAGGTAGGGAAAGTGATGGGAAACAGGGGAGGGGGAGGAGGACAAGCTAGGTGCGCTCGCATCATGTCTGACGTCCTGCCCCTCCCTCCCATCCCTTACCATGGCGTAGATATCCTCTCTATTCGCACCGTCGGATGTCGAACAGGGCAATGATCGCGAGAGGGAACGCGATGCATAGTAGAGCACGGCATGGCATAGCGTAGAAGAGCACGGCAGAGCGTAGCACGCCATAGCATGCCGTCGCATTGCGCAGTGAAGCATTGCATTACAAAGAATTGCAACGCAAAGCATGGCATCGCACAGCGGCGCAGAACACAACACCGCGCAGCATGTCATGTCATGGCGCCAGGTTCCTTGGAGGGTAAGGGGATCGTCTTCGAGATGTCTGGGCCGGTCTGGAGTCGTGGCTCCACGTCTACTTCCCCGAAAAGATCCACACAACGCGGGGCTGAGGGAGAGCACCCGCTGGCTCTGCTTTCAACATCGCCTCTCAAAGCAGAAACGGGGCTCCTGCTTGATACTTTCTGAGCACGACGACGCCCCAAACTGGGGGGGCTTCTGCGGCCCAGAAGTTCAACGAATCGACACCTAATGTAGAATCACTTCCCATGGTTTTTTCGGTGGGCCATTTTCTAGATTTTGGGGCCTATTTTGAAGGCGGGCCAGCGCTGCAGCGGGAGCACGATTCGGAACGAGCGGAACCACAGAAATGAGGCCAGCGCTTCAGCGGAAACAATAGTCTGGGACGACAGCAACAACAATTAGCCTGGCGAAGGACCCAACCATATGCAGTTGTGGGTATCGCATTCGGGGGGGGCCGTATGGGGCCACGAAGCGCTGTACTGGGTGGAGGGGGCGCATGCGAACTGCGCCACTGGGACCTTCGGGGGAGCTACCTATGGGGCCACGAAGCCCTGCCCTGGGTGGGTGGGACGCATGCGAACTGCGCCACTGGGGCCTTCGGTGGAGCTCCCTATGGGGCCACGAAGCGCTGCCCTGGGTGGGGGAACCGCATGCGGGCTGTGCCACTGGGACCTTCGGTGGAGCTCCCTATGGGGCTACGAAACGCTGTACGAGGCGGGGGGTGACGCATGCGAACTGCGCCACTGGGACCTTCGGTGGAGCTCCTTATGGGGCCCCACGAAACGCTGCCCTGGGTGGGGGAACCGCATGCGGGCTGTGCCACTGGGACCGCCGGTGGAGCTCCCTATGGGGGTACGAAACGCTGCCCTGGGCGGGGGAACCGCATGCAGGTTGTGCCACTGGGGCCTTCGGTGGAGCTCCCCATGGGGCCACGAAACGCTGCCCTGGGCACGGGAACCGCATGCGGGTTGTGCCACTGGGACCTTCGGTGGAGCTCCCTGTGGGGCTACGAAACGCTGCCTTGGGTGGGGGAACCGCATGCGGGCTGTGCCACTGGGACCTTCGGTGGAGCTCCCTATGGGGCTGCGAAGCGCTGCCCTGGGTAGGGGAACCGCATGCGGGCTGTGCCACTGGGACCTTCGGTGGGGCTCCCCATGGGGCCACGAAGCGCTGCCCTGGGCACGGGAACCGCATGCGGGTTGTGCCACTGGGACCTTCGGTGGAGCTCCCTGTGGGGCTACGGAACGCTGCCTTGGGTGGGGGAACCGCATGCGGGCTGTGCCACTGGGACCTTCGGTGGAGCTCCCTATGGGGCTGCGAAGCGCTGCCCTGGGTGGGGGAACCGCATGCGGGCTGTGCCTCTGGGACCTTCGGTGGAGCTCCCTGTTGGGCTACGAAACGTGTGAGGGGTGTGCCGAGAGCAGAGGCAAGGAGGGGGAGGGGGAAGGAGGGAGGGGGCAGCGGCAGGAAAAGGAGACGCGGGGCACCGTCTCTTCAAGACGAGGACCCAACACCACAGGATGGTTGGGAACACACACACAAGCGAAAACCCAACTCCTGGGAATATATATATAGATATACACATTAAATTTATATATATATATATATATATATATATTTATATTTATATTAAAATATAAAAAACGGTACGCGGCGGGGGGGGCGGACATTTCCCCGACGTCATCAGGGGAGAGGGGGGGAGTAATATTGTGTAGTTGTTGAGGAGGAGGAGGCGGAGGAGGAGGAGGAGGAGAGGAGGAGGAGGAGGAGACAAAGACGAGGAGGAGGAGGAGAGGAGGAGGAGGAGGAAGAGGAGCGGGAGAAGGACGAAGAGGAGGAGGAAGGGGAGGAGAAGGAGGAGGAGGAGGAGGGAAGAGGAGGAGGATGATGAGGAGGTGGAGAAGGAGGATGAGGAAAAGGCGAAGGGAGAGGAGGGCAGAGGGAGGCGGAGGGAGTGAAGGAGGAGGAAGAGGAGGAGGAGGAGGAAGGAGGAGGAGAGGGGGAGGGATGTTGGTGGTGATGGTTGGGGGTGATGATGTTTGTGATGGTGATGGTGATTGCGACGATATGGTGATGGTGATGGTGATGCCGATGACGAGATTGGTGGTGGCGGTGGTGATGATGGCGATGCTGATGATGGTCATGGTGATGTTGTTAATGATGGTAAGGATGATGATGGTGGTGTTGACAATGATAATGATGATGAGCATGATGATGCTGCTGATGATGATGGTTGTGATGATGATTGTGATGGCGATGATGCGAATGATGATGGTGAACACGATGTTGCTGACTGTGATGATGACGGTAATGATGCTGGTGGTGATGGTGATATGTATGATGATGGTGGTGATGTAATTGTTGATGATGATGTCGATGGTGATGATGATGATGATGATGATGATGATGATGATGGCGATGCTGATGATGAAGCTGATGATGATGCTGATGTGGGTGATGGTGATGATGACGGTGATGATGACGGTGATGATAATGCTGATGATGGTGTTGCCCGTTGTAGTGGTGATAGTGGTGATGTTGATGATGATGGTGGTGGTGATGATGATGCTGATGATACTGATGGCGATGATGACGATGATGATGATGATGATGATGATGATGATGATGATGACGATGACGATGATGATGATGATGATGATGATGATGATGATGCTGATGCTGATGCTGATGATGATGATGATGATGATGATGATGGTGATGATGCTGATGATGATGATGATGATGATGATGATGATGATGATGATGATGATGATGATGATGACTATGGACGTGGTTGTGGTGGTGCTGGTACTGGTGAGAATGATGGTGTGGAGGAGGATGGTGGTGGTGATGATGATAATGGTGGTGGTGATGGTGAGGAGGAGGAGGAAGAGGAGGAGGAGGCGGAGGAGGAGGAGTCCGTTGACCGTGTTTTCGTTCGTCCTATTTGGCCCCTTGTGCTTCGCGCTATGTCACCGTCTCGCTAGGGAACAGTTTCTCTGGGAGCATCGCATGATGCCGCCACAGAGGATTGCATTGCTGAGCTTCGTCGCCATCCTGGTCCTTCTCCTCTCTTCGTTGCTCTCCTTGTTGCACTTCTCCTTTGCAGGGGGCGCGGCGGCCAGCCATTGCGCGGCAAGCTCTGTGTCGGGGTCGCCCTGGTCCAGGGTTTCAGGGGCGCTCGGGTTTTTGTTGCCCTGCGTCGCTTCGCTGTGGGCTGCTTCCATTGCGAATCCCATCTCTCGGCATCGCGTCGTGATGCTTTTCGTGCTTAGCTCTGCCTTGTGCTGCGTTGTGTTGCGCTGCCTTGTGTGGTTTTACGCTCGTGGCTTCACGTTGATTTGCCTGGCTTTGCACTGCCCTGCATATCCATCCGTTGCGTTGTATGGGTTCCACTGCTTTGCGTGGCTTTGCTTCGCTCCGTTTTGATTTGTAGGGCTGCATCCTTTGGGGTCGGGCCAAGTCGGGCGTTTGCCCCCGCCCGCGCGGGCGGGCGAGCCTCCGAAGCAGAGGGGGGGCCAGCGCCGCGCGGGATGCCCGCCACGCAGCAGAGGCCCGCGGCGGCGCCGAGGGCAGTGGTCCTGCGCAGGCCCGGAGGGGTCCTCGGCTGCCCCAGGGGCGCGCGTGGCTGCGGCAAGGCTCGCGCCAAGAGCCGCGGGCGGTCGCGGACGGCAGCGCGAGCCAGGGAACCCGCGGCATCGGCCGGGCCTCCCCGCCCTCTGGGCATGAGGCGGTGGCGGCAGAGCCGCGGCGGCCCGCCGCGGGCGAACTGTCGCGAGGGCCCAGGCAGGTCGGACTCGTGCTGCGCGACCTGCACGAGCATCGCGAGGTGGGGGCCGAGGAAGGTCCAGCCGCCGAGCACCGAGCGCGAGCTGGACGGCCTGGTGACCTTCATACGGCGGCAGGCCACTCGAGACGAGCGAGGAGAATCGGGCGAGCCCGGCGCCAACGACTTCAAGGTGATGTTCGACGTGGGGCGGATGGGCGGTGAGCTCGAGCGCGGGCGGATCCGCCCCGGCGTCGCTTTCGTTTGACGACCCAGCGCGGACGCCCGCCACGCTCTTCTGTCCCTCGGGTGTGGACCGCGCGACGCTTGCGCTCGGGGGTCCCAAGTGCGCCGCGGTTGCCATTCGCCGTGCTCGTCGGCGCTTCCTTCAGCTGCCATTCGACAGCTGCGCGGGGGGGGGGGGGGCGAGACGCGCCAGGCGGTGGACAGTGCGAGCCTGGCAGCACGTCGCAAGGGCAAGATGGCGCAGGCCAGAGGCCAAGCGCGAGCCACCGCGAGCCGACGACGCCGTCGTCGAGGCGGAGGCCGTCACCTCCACAGCCGCGCCC